GCGGAATAGCAGCTTCCCATTAGTTTCTATGGACGGAAAAGAGCAGATACGGATCAAATGGTTCTCAATGCATTCCTATGGGAAATGCAGATTTGACCTGAGAACTTTTTGACTTGAGAACCGCCTTCCAATACGAATTAAGTTCTCAAGTCAAGACCCCACTGTAGATAAATAGGTACCACCTCAGTGGGAAGGTAAATGGCGATCTGTGTCTAGTCACGCTGACCACGTGACCACGGGGGATTGTCTGCGGACAAACACTAGTTCTGTGGGTTCGAAATGGAGATGAGCACTGCCACCGAGAGTTGGACATGACTGGACAAACTGTCAAGCGGGACCTTTACCTTTTACCTCTTCCTTAAAAGGTAAAATGGGTTGTCAATCTGCTCTTTTGATGATCCGATATTCATTCTTTTTTCTACTCCTAGTTTATTTGTACCACAGGATTTTAAAATTTAATTCTGATTTGTTTTGTGAAACTGCAGTAGTAGACTGCTGCTTCACTAAGGACTAAGTGAAAGACTGGAAGACTGTACTGAAAAGTTCTTCTAATATTGTAATATGTCATTTCAGAATGCTTTTCTCCCTGACTGTAGTTTCTGATCACAAAACCTTTAATTTTAAAGGAAATTTGATTTGATACTTCTGCATACCTAGCTAATAAAGAGATTGTGTCTACCATGTTTCCCCAAAAATAAAACAGGGTCTTATATTAATTTTTTGCTCCAAAAAAAGCACCAGGGCTTATTTTCAGGAGATTTTTTTAAATGTACAATATTTATTCAAATACAGTCATGTCATCTGGTTGCTGCACAGTGGTGGAGTTTCACTTAACTGGGACTTATTTTTGGGGTAGGGCTTATATTAAGAACATCCTGAAAAATCATACTAGGGCTTATTTTCAGGTTAGGTCTTATTTTCAGGGAAACTATATTTTCTGTATTAATCCAAAGAACAGTCCAGTTAATACAAATAACTAAGGTGTGTTTTAAACAGGCTATATTATAGAATTAAATTCTTCCATCATCCACAAATTAAGGAACAGTTCTACTATGACACTGTTGACCACTGCACCAGCATATGGTTACCATCTTTACAGCACAGTACCAGACCACACACTTTTATTGAGCAAGTATCTCAGTATTACAGAAAGAGTTCTCACAGAAGCTTTCAAATGGGAGTTAACACCAAATCAGATTTTTCTCTTGAGAACTCTCATTGCTGTAGTCAAGCTTGAAGTAATCAAAGAACAGTGATTTACATTGTCTTGGAGGTCTGTTTTCCCTAATATGCCTCCCAGAAGATCAGCCCGTGTAGCCTTCATTCAGCAAGCTACACAAAGTGCCCCCAGAAGAAAGGAATGGTAAACCACATCTGAGTACTCTTTAAACTTAGAAAACATTAGAAAGGGTCCCCTCAATCAGAATGGTCATGATAGCATATAATTAATTATTACTATGCTTTAAAATACAGTTCCAGAAGGTGTCCCAACCTTCCAGACTGATTTGAGAAGAGACAGAATGGCATCTGATAGTCATACTGGATACTGTCATTCTTTCAGCTGAAGTGCAGCACTGGAATCTGCAGAAAGCTCAGATGCCAGCTATTACCCCAATACTGACTTGTGCAAAACTATTACAGGACCTAATAATATCAACCAGACTATCAAGGGCTTAATTGACTGCTTAGTGCAATAATGTAACAATTGTCCTACTCTAAATATGACTAGATCTAATCCGTTATGAATTGTTACTGTTGTAACTGCCCACTACACTACTAGAGTCAGTAGGAGCTGATTTTAGAGCTTCATTCAATACAATGAGGGGAATTCCTGTAACAAAGATAAACTGGACAGCAGTAGATTATTTATGCCACTCTGATTTCACCAGAAGGGTGATTTTAAAAAAAAAATCATTCTAAGCTGTTTTCTGTCCAAATGGCATTGATGATCTCTTCAGCACTTAAAACAGTATGAAGTTTGAAAGCTTAGTGTGGTTGTTTTTCAGTACCCCATACTTAACATTCATTGCTGCTTCTGTGCATCATACTACAAGCAAGTATGCAAGCCTTAGGGTTAAGCTAGATGAGATGGCAGAAGGGTTACTTGGAAATATGTCAGGAATTCTTTAAAAGTTCAATAGCTGTGCAGAGCATGTGATTTTGTGACCTCAGTGTGGGGGAAGAGGATGTTTAAGCCTTCTCTTTCCAGCCGTGATCACAGATTTTTATTTTTATTATATCTCAATTCCTTCCAGCACAAGACAAGTACCAATGAATACACAGTTATAAATACTAACACAGGTTTAACAGGTTAAAACACAGTTAACTTAGACATGTTTCTAAATACTATAATGAAAGCAATAATTATAATTTAAAAGTGAAGCACATCTGTTCAAGACCCATGTATTTAGCATGTAAGTAGTTGCTGAAGCCCTACCTGAGTAGAACGGTCTTTGCCTGTAAGGAAAAGTGACAAGAAGGGAACCAAACAAGGCTATTAAACAAGCCTTCCTTGAAAGGAAGTTTCATGGTCAGCACAGACACCAGCTAGGCCGCCTTCTTTACCATGCCTTTACCAAATGTCTCTTAGCAGGGGAGGCCTAAGAGAAGGAGCTGTCTCATAGATCTCAAACCCCAACAAGGCTTGAAACTCTAGTTTTGATGAAGTATTTATCATTTGTATGAGCTACAAAAACACAGCCAGTTTTTCCACGTGACAAAAGTAGCTTGGAGGTATTATAAAAATTTCTAAACACAGCATAGCATCATTTTCAGAAATGTTAATTGACTACTAATTGTGTTTTTTATTCTGTTAATTTGTAGCATGGTGCTGTACATGGCTATTCAAAAATAAACACCACAGAACTGAGTAGGCTTTTAACTCCCAGGAAACTAGTTACAAGTCACTTTTAGATTTACAGCAGCAACAGACAGGATGTACACTGAGGAATTTTATGAATTTCTAACATGTCCAGCTGTTCCTGAATTTATCCTGTATTACTAAATCTCTACATTTTAACCCAAGATGATTCAGACTCATACAACCTGTATAAAATATGAACTTTATCAAATATTTGCTACTCATGAAGATAAACAGAGGGAAGGCAACAGTTGCAGAGAATTGACTTTGAAAAGCTGATTTAATTCCTGATCCTATTGTTATTTTTGTGTCCTACATCCAGGTTAAAGATTTATCCTCTGACACACTTCTTCAGCATCATGATAACCTAAACTCAGCTTTGGATAGTTGTTACAGTGGAGATACTGTACTTATTTTTCCAGGAGAATACAGAGCAGCAAAACTTTCTATGTTAACTGAAGATATCATTATTAAAGGTAACTAGAATTACAGTGGATAAAAATCATTTTTTTTCCAAAAAATTTAAAGGATTAAAAAAATTACATCAGATTTTTAAATCTGTATTGTTAAATGGTTTTAGTTTTTTGTTAAAAAGCCCTATGTGGTGACGATTAAAAGGTAAATGTTTTTAAGATAAAGATATCAAGAAATGGTTCTAAAATTTCAGTATTATACTATAGCTGAAATCTAGAAAAATAATTAGTCCTATCAGCTCCCGTTTCCCAGTTTTTTTCCCTTCCACACTGAAGACAAATAACAGTCTGTCCCGCGTCCAGCTCCCTGATTTTGCTGCTTTCGGGACTGCCTCTTTGCCTCGGCCTGCTGGACAAGGGTCTTTTCAAATTGGGAGAGGCCATGCTGCACTGCCTGCCTCCAGGCTGAACGCACAGATGTCAAGGTTTTCCATCTGTTGAGGTCCATTCCTAAGGACTTCAGATCCCGCTTGCAGATATCCTTGTATTGCAGCTGTGGTTTCCCCTCTGGGGTGATTTCCCCGCACTAACATGATATAAAGTTGGAAATTCTTGGAGGACCTGTTAGCATCTTCAGAAATGTTTTTAATAGTTTCTTTGGGTGATGGTACCTTTTAAGTGAAAGGAAAGACCAATGCTGCAAAGAAAAATGCTGCATAGGAACCTGGAATGTAAGATCTATGAACCTGGGGAAGCTGGAGGTGGTCAAACAGGAGATGGCAAGAATAAACATCGGCATCCTGGCATCAGTGAACTAAAATGGACAGGAATGGGCGAATTCAGCTCAGATGATTATCATATCTACTATTGTGGCCAAGAATCCCGTAGAAGGAATGGAGTAGCCTTCATAGTCAACAAAAGAGTGGGAAAAGCTGTAATGGGATACAATCTCAAAAATGATAGAATGATGTCAATACGAAT